AAAAAAAAAAAACATAACCAGATCTGGCAAGAGCAGACCTGAAGTCCCGCCTGCAACCCCTGTGCTGGATCTGGACTACAACCCCCACTTACTCAGGCACAGGGCCCAAGTCCTGTTCCACTCAAGCTGTTACTTGCCTGGCTGAAGGCATTAGAGTTTGCGACCCCTGCTGGAAAACTACCAAAAAGCATGTATTAGAGAAAAAGAAAGATGCCCACAGGGATCTATTTCTGTTATGTTCAGGCTATCGCTTGGAAGAATAATGTATTCATTTTTCTAGACCTCTTGTAGTAGCACATAACTATTGACAAACTACGGCCCAGTAGATATTATTCTAACGATCTGAAAAAGCTATAGACTTCATTCCCCAAGGGTAAAGGAAGGTAAGGATGCTTCATGCTGGAGACAGGCCTGAAGATGAATGGGGAGAAGCTGTACATCAGCAGGTTGCAATTCTGGCTAAGTCAGGGAGAAAGGGAATTCACTTGAAGACTGTGGGTTGCCTCTAGGAATTGCCGAGAAGCTGAAAAGCCAGGACTGGAAAATGACAAGGAATGAAAGGAACCTGGGCACCAGGGGCACGTCAAGATGGTGTTGCAGAAAAGGCACCTCTGGGACCACAGCTTGGGACATGCCTACCGCTGCCAATGCCACTTGATCCATGACCCAAGGTGGTAAACAAACACTCCAGTGTCCCTGTGTCCTTTAGCTAGTCTTTCAAGATTCCAGGCCCCAGGTGGGATCATTCAACTAAGCCCTAGTTCAGGGCTGGGAGATATGGACAAGGAGAAAGAGGCCCATCTCCCATCAAAAAAAACCCTTCTACGAAGGGAAGCTTGTGTTTCCTCAATAGGATGTTTGGTTCCCACTGCTTAGAAGGATTTTAAGTGAGTCTGAAGAGAGAGGGCACTACAGGCACGACTGCAGAGTGGAATAAGAACAGACAGGCCTGAATTCTAGTCTGGAATCCTTTGTACCTTTAGAAAATTAATTAAGTTTTCCAATCGGCAGATTCCAAATCCTTAAAATAGAAATGACGCCATCTGCTCTCCAGGGTTGCTGTGAAGATTCAGTCCAATCATTCATTCAATTTATTCCAAACATACTTATTGAATGTCTAAGTGCCAGGCAGGCACTGAGTTAGGTTCTGGAGACAGTTTGGAACAACACCTAAAATGCAATGGGGAGTCAGTGCATTATACTGATGAAAGATTTAGACCAGGGGGGCCCGGGTCATCTCGTGACACTGGTCGTGTTTTACTTTTCCCCAGTGGAGTCACTGCCCATTTATGACTTTTCTCCTTTTTTTGATTAATTAACATCAGGGCCTTCTCTTCAAATAGATTTTCTTAAGACACGTCACATGTATTATGTTAAAAGGAAAAAAACTCGAAAAATTGACTGTGATCCTGAAAACAAGAAAGGAATCATTCTGAGAAGCAGTGAGGCCCGCTGCTTGTAGCATTCAGGTGGGGTGATCACAAGAAGACACTGGCCAATTATATGAAATCTCTCCCACTTAATGTTTAGCATATGTAATTTACTCAGACATATGCAAACTACAATTAAAATGAACATTAAAATAGATCTACGATAAAACTTTTTTTTTTGTATTTTTTACCCTTTACAATTGCACAAGTGTCCTATAATCAGCAAGATGCATTTCGTATACATTTTCTCACTTTCTTATAATAATCTTTTCATCACTATTTTGCAGAGGAAGAAACTTAGGCTCAGGGAGGGAGAAATTGTTGCCCAAGGTCATGGGCTAAGAAGTTAACTTTAAATCCAGCTAGCACTCTCTTGCCTTCTGCCGTAAGAAAAGAGCAGCCTCAATTGAAAGCACGAGGTCAAGTAGCCAGGTTGAGGGAAAAAATGAGGACTAGCCCTGATTTTTTCCAACACTAGCTGGAAAGTTACTGCATTTCCCTGGAAGCTGCTAAAATGTTACCACTCCTCCTACAACAACTGTCTCTAACACAGGGACCCAGGCTTAGATGCAGGCCCCGAAACCTGGTGCCTGAGCACTGACCCAGGGGACAGGCTCAATTTCATCAGGACACCCAATACATCTTATCGTGCCTTCCTCCAAACCTTAGCCCCCATAGACAGACACGATTTAGCAACCACAGTGGGGATATGCCATCATGGGTAGATGCCGTGGTCTCGAAAGGCACTGTGCACGGATGAAACCATTTACACCACCCAGGCCATCTTTCCAGCCCCTTCCTAGTCAACATCAAGTTTCAATTCAAGGCAAGAAAAGCTTCCATGTGACTTTTCCCTTCAGAGACACCGCCCCCCGGATTTTTCCAGTAAAATAATTTCTTATTTTAATAAGAAAAGTACATGCTCCAACTTTTGGGGGAACCCTGGGAGGACTTGAGGCTGCATCCTAGACATAATGACAGGAAAGTAAAGAACCCTTTGCTTTTTCCGATGCCATCTCAAGGTGCCACTTTCTCACCAGCTTCTCAGAACAAAAATCTCCCATCTTAAAACTGCAGAGCATTGTATACCCTGTGGCTTCACAGAGGATCCACAGTCTAGAAGCACAGCTTAATAAGCCTCACTAAGGAATCTTCATCTATGCTGCTGTTGTAATTAACCACTTTCACTTAAGAGTGCTTAGTCATGAAGTTGTCCATCCCTGTCAAACTCAGCTGAAAGAGTTAGATGGGCTAACCAAAAACCTGGAGAGACTCTTTTAGAAGCTGTTCTTTCTCCGCTTAACGCTGGAGAAAACCTTATGTAACACAATGGTCCATTTCAATATGTTATTTCTGCAATCCTGTGGGGGAAAATCTAAGCGCTGGATATACAAAGGGAAGGGTAAGGCAGGGATTTGCAGCCAAGCGCGCGTTTCTTGGAATTTTAGTAGGTAAGTCTTATTCTAATTGCACCCAGTGTTACCCAAAATTACCAGGAATGCAGAAAGCAAGAAAAAAATCCGAACGCCAAAGGATGCGCTTTGCTTTAGAAATGCAGGGCGGCAGAAGAAGTTGGGTTATTTCTCCCTCCTTTTTTTTTTTTTTTTTTTTTTTTTTTTTTTTTTTTTTTAAGATGGAATTCCTGGAATTAACCCTTGGGTGGAAGCATTTCAACAACATAAAATGAGATTTGCCTGCAAAGCGAGAACGCACGGGTGGAAATGAAGGATCCTGCCTGTGCCAGGCTGCTGCCTCAGCAGTCCCCGAGCACCCAGTGCCTGAGAGCGAGAGCGTGGGGACTCGTCTGGGGACCCTCTTCCTGGGCTAGTGGCGGAAGGCGCAGCCGAACTGGTGGTGGTGGGGTTTCCCTCCGGGGCTAGCGCTGAGGGAGGAGAAGAGGGCGGACTGGTTCCTCCGTTCTCGGCTCCCCTCCCCGCCACTCCTTGAGGCTGCTCCATGCTAGCAAGGGACTGCTTCTCGGAGCGCAGCGCAAAGACAGTGGATTTGGAGTGGCCTCCCTAGAATCCCCCCAAAAGCATCTTGGCATAAGTTGTAGATAAAAAATAGCTCATGATAATGTTGTGGGGAAGGGAGGAGCGAGACTCGCGCAAGGCGAGGCAAGGGTACCACTGGCTCTGCAAAGGAGGAGGAAGAGAGAAGGATGCAACCCCCGGCCCAAGAGAGCACCCTGAGTGTGCGATGAATCGCTGGCTCCCGGGGGAGGGAAAGAGATGGAAGCCCTATAGCGCCGGCAAATAACTGCAAGAGTCCAGCACACCCCATCCCGCGCCGGCACCCGGCTTTGGCTCTAGCTGCTTCTTCCCATCATCCGCCTACGTTCTGGGTCTGTCCTCCGCTTCCCGGGACGGGCTGGGGCCAGAAGGAGGAGCAGCGCGTGGTCCGCCCCCTGGCTGGTAGAGCGCACCTGGCGAGGTCAAGTTCCGCGAATAAAACCCTTCTTGGGATCTGGGGGCTAGGCGCTCCAACCGCAGGTTCGCGCCCCGCCATCCCTCACCTCCATCCGCTGCCCAAGGGCCCGGAAATAGAAACCCACGAGGGGAAAAAATATCAGTAAAAAGTAACAAGAAAAAAAAAAAAAAGACCCTCACGTAATTAGCATTGGGGATTACTTATTGTCAGGGCTGTCGCCTCAATTTCTCCCTTGGGAGATGCCTATCTCCAACCAAATGCAAAGGCAAACCCGACCAAGGCTTCTCCACCTCCAAAGGCTCCCTCGACCGAGTTACTTTTGCGGGCTGTGTCATCGCCCCAGTTTCTGGCCCCAGGTGGTACCCAGGTTCCGTTGAGTGCTGCGCTCTCGCTGGCCCACAGGGTCCTATGTTGAAGCTGCGGTCGCCAAGCAGCTGGCAGGAGCGAACCTCCCGACTCTGCTGGGGGGAAAAACACCCAACCCAGTAAGAGTCAGAAATCCGGATCCCTGTCCTTACAGATCAACCGGTCCCTCGGGACTTCCAGAGCAGAGGTGCTAGGGTAAGAGGTGAGGAGGATGGGAAAATCCCCAGCCTCTTCTTCCTGCTTCCCTCTGCATCCACTCCACCTGCTCCAGCCCCGATTCTTCTTGGGTTCTGCACTTGCCCGAAGTCCAGAACGCCAGACTAAGGTTCCTCGGAGCCCCCCACACCTGCGTCCTGCCACTCTCCCACCCCGCGCGCGCCGCACTCACCTGAGCCGCGCCTCTGTCCAGCCCGTCCGGCGCCCTAAATAGCCTCCTGGGCTGGGCCATGGGCAGTACTGCCGAGCACCCGCGGCGGGTGGAGCAAGTTTCTGAACGGCCCGGGGCAGGCGGGCGGGGAAAAGGCGCAGGCACCCACTGAGACCCGGTGGTGGTGGCGGCGACTCCTGGCTGCCAGCGCGCCTAGGACCTTGCAGGCGGGCGTTTTGGTGCTCAATCCCGAGGAGGGGAGGAGCAGGAGGAGGAGCAGGAGCAGAAGGAGGGGACGGAGGAGGCCGGGCCCGGAGGGAGAGCGCGTTGGGCAGAGGAGGATCGCGAGCGCCCACTGCTGTCCGGCCGGCTTGGGTGCCAACCCGAGTCCGGCCCGCTAGGTGCCTGGTGCTCCACTCTGTGCTCAGCTGCTCGGCACAGCCCCGCCTGGCACGCAGCTCCAACAGCGGGTCCTGGAGTAGTCGGTCCCACCCACCCGGTGCGGCGGCCCCTCGGGTTTCAGTCCAAGGGAAAGGACCAGCGCTCCAGAAAGGTGAGGCGGCTGGGTGGGTGATTCCGCCGTCACTGCAAACCTGGGACGTCCGGTCTACTCCCTCACGCCTGCTTGGTCTGAGCCGGAGCCTACCTCTTCCCCAAGTCGCCAGCTCGGCACTTGTACCCGGGACCTGTGCTCCTCCCACGTGCGTCTGCACCACCAGTGTTCCCTTCCCGGCAGGTGACCCACCTTAGGCGCTGGCGCTCCTTCCGCCCCGCGGGAAGCAGGAGGTTCCATCCTCTCCAATTCTCTCTGCAGCCGGACTGGGACCGCGGCGGCGGCCTGGGCCGGAATCCCCGCGAGGAGCCGGCTTCAAAGAGCGCCCAGTCGCCATTGAATACTCCTCCTTTGGTTTCGCGTCAGAGAGTGGACGCCAATTTGCCAGAAGAGCGCGGAAAATTCAGCTTTTTTCTTTTTTCTTTTTTTTTCTTTTCTTTTTTATTTCTTTTTTTTTTTTTTTTTTTTTTTTTTTTTTTTTTTGCTAGTGCACTAGGATTGCAAACGTCAGCTCTGAAACAAAAAGCAGTCTTTCTTCCCCGCCCCTCTGTTCCGGAAGCCGGGAGGTTCTGTGGGAGAACCGACCTGCACCCAATAACTCAATTGAAGATTTAAGGTTTTGAGGGGCGTGGAGTTGGAATCGCCTTGGAGAAACGGGCTTGCCTGCTTACCTGAGCCAAAGCAAATTGCCCTCAAGGGCGAACAGCAATCATACCCCCCAAAAAGCAAATTTCATCAAAGTAACTTCCTTTAATGAGATTTCTATAGTTTCCATGTCTTACATATTAGTAAATAAATATTTGGAAGACTTAGAATTTGTGATTTACCTTTAAATATATTACACTAACATTGTTTAATTTAAAAATATTCTCCCATCTAAGAGAAGGTTCCTATAGGAAATTGGCCCCTTATCTCATACACAGATTACCGTCGGCACTTTGAGAAAGAAACACAGTGACCAGTATTTTCTGTCTTTTTGATAAAGCCGGAAGCACCCCGAAAGCTGAGACCTAACTGTGCTTTTGGAAAATAAGCTTTTAGGAGTTGAATGACCTTGTCTACTTCTTTCAGTCAGAATAATGTTGGCATGTCTATTTTAAGTAAAAAAAAAAAAAATACAATTTCTAAAAAGTGACTTTAAAGCCCCACTTTGAAAGCCTTAGCATTTCAACTAACATTAGATTTAAAAGAAGTGCTTTTCTCCCCCATTACAGGAAGCTGTGTAAAATCATGTGTGAGGTTGTGAGGGTCAAATGGAAGTCTAAGATAAAGCTCTGCCAATTACTGGTGTCTTTAAGCTTCCACCAGCAGCCAAGCACAGTGCAGATCATGAGTCCTTCAAAATACGGGGCAGTTTTGATGCTCTAAGTTGATATGATTACTTTTTCTAAAGAGTTCAAAGTGCTTTGGTGCCATAGTATGAATTTCATTACCCATTGTGAGACACAAAGGGGGTTAGCAATGATTCTGTTTGCACCCTGGAAGCCAAACGCAGGTTACTGACCTACTTAGTTCCCTACCACAAGACCTTGAAAGAAACTGGAACCCCAGGTTTCCAGCCCAGAGTTTTTGTTAGAAGTTTCCATTTGCAGGAAATGATTGCAGGGCACATGTGTAAAGTGACAGGAATTTGAGGACTAGCATTTTACTTTTCCTCATTTCTTTTAAAATCTGAGCAATTGTTCATTGTTCAATAATCAATGTTCTTACATTCAGATAAATAAAAATATCAACTGCCTATTTTGTTCTTACTTAGCTTTGTGTGTGAGTCCAGGCATTTGCCACTGCTCCTAAATAGCTTTTCCTGAAGTCTTCTGGTCATGAGTTAGGTTTCCTATCCAGAAGTTCATATAGTACCAGAGCTTAGCTCTCCTGTAACAACACAAGCACATTACTGAAACATCTATTTAGGGATCTGTCTTCCCTGATAGATTATAAATGCTTTGAGCTCTGGTATCATGATTTAATGATGAATCCTGCATGGTATCTGAATCCCAGAATCCTGTATGGTATCTGAAATATACTATGCTCTCAAGAAAAAACAAAGTTTGTAAATGGAACTTCCCTCGAGGAGGCAGGGTTTGAGTCAAACATGTTTCTCTTTCAAAGCCAGAGGCATGAGAATAGAGGCTCCTGGAAGACACGGTGGTAGTGGACTGGCGAAGTGGCTGTCAGTCATAGATGTGTGGCCCAAGACTCTTTTTCTCTGTGCCAACAACTGAAAAATGAGAGGGTTTTCGTGGAAGATCTCTGTACTGCTAATATTTTCAGATCTCCAAGTCTTTATTGAGCACCTGGTATGTGTATAACACTATGCCAGTTACCAAGGGAGAGATGAAAAATTAAGACATCTCTATTGCCCTAAGGGAGCATAAAATCTTATGTCAAGGAAAAACAAGGCTAGCACTCATAGCCTATCTTTACAGAAACTCACAGGCATCAGTTAACACAGTTGTAAATTGTTCTGAAGAAGATAAAGGCTCAAGGAGTGAAAAGGCATGAAATAGAAACAAAAGCAACTGACCTATGCGTTTGGGCAGTGATCAGTAATAATACCAGCTAACGTGTATCTAAGGCTTCCAGTGCCAGGTACGATGCAAAATGAATCATATGAGCTGCACCTTTTGTTCATTTTATAAATGGGGAAACAGAGCTTTAGAAGAGTTTAGTGACACATTCAAGGTGACATACTAATAAGTGGTAGGATTGATATTCAAATAGTTCTCACCTGACTCCAAAGTGCATCTTCTCAACCAATCTTAGAGATTATTAGCCCAGACTTCCCTGTTTTATAATTGAGGGAGTTTATTACAGCACTAGAGGAGGAAACCACCCTTCCAGTAAAAACTAGAATCCTAGTCCAGTGCTCTATGTAATTGAGTAGTGTGCTTATGTTTGCTATTTTTGTAGTTTTTCTCTTTCCCCCAAAATGTGTAATAGGAGAGGGGGAAGTCAGGTAAAGCGGAGAGGAGAAAAAGAGAGAATTTGCTCCTTTTGAAGATGCACAGAATCCACAGTAGTCTACCTGCCCAGACTCAATGGGATTTTATTTGTAACCTTAGTCTAGTGGGCAGCCCTGTATAGCCTCTCTTCCCATCATGGTTGTTTGAATCTTTCAGGTTAATAGCATGAATATTAAAGACTCCAGTGGGATTCTTTATCTGCAAAGGAAATTGGGATCAGGTTAAAAATCCAATTTTAATAAACTTTCCAAGCCCTGATTTAGATGATGTACTAATGGCTCTTACTGCTGAATCACCTTAAAAGTCAAATGTATTTTTAAAAGGGAAGCTTGTTGGGTATTGTTTAATTGTACATTGTACATTCCTGTCTTAATAGAAAAAGATCATCTGTAAAACTTATGAGAGCAGATAGGAAATGCCACTATCCACAGAGCCAGTTGGGTAGAGGGAAGGGCGTCGGGTTTGAAAGATAATTTTCACTCGTTTGACCAAAACAAAGAGAGCATGATTGCACTGTGTGAAAATGATATTCTCAAATAACTCCACTAATTTGATTGTGCTGAGGTCTAGAATTGTTTCTGTTTCTTTTGATTTGCTAATTAGCTACAGCAGTCTGCTAGTGAGAGAGGAAATGAGGGTCACAGTCATAAAACACGGAGGATCATTGTTCCTTCCAACTCAGCTCACCCATCTCCTGCCTCCCCCACCACCCCATCCCAACTCCCAATTTTGTCTCTGTGTATGTAACAACAATCCATCCATCTGTGACAAATGGACTGATTTTTTTCCCCAAAAACAGGATTTTCAAGATTATCTACTTTATAACACCAACTTTGACACATCTTGGCAGATGTGGTTACAAGGTCCAGTTATGACTTTTATGATGTTTTCCTTTATGAATCCCGCTCCCTGCCTTGCCAAGTTAAAATTATATTTTATGACTGCATTAGCATACAGGTGAATATATTTTCTTCTCTATTTAAATATCTTCTTTAACCTAAAAGTTTATATTTTTCTGATTTTTAAAAGAAATTAAATCATTTTTGGGAAGCATTCAAGGCACCATAAGCTCTGGGCAATGTGCCTAAGACTTCTAATGGAGACTTTGGCCCTGTGCAGATGATACTGCAGAGGAGGAACACTTAGTTAATTTAGATAAAGTATCACAGTAAATACAATTTCAGAAAAAAGCTTATAGTCTATTGTGTTAGATAAACAACTATAGACAAATAAAATACTGCTTTTATTTGTTATCCTGTGTTAAACTGTGGTCAAAATTACACATATCAGTGCTACAAAAATTGCAGTATTGCAGGCTTGAAGGGGTCCCCTTGTTCAAATTACTAGCGCCTGCTGAGTGCTGGAATACCTTCAGGGCAATGGCAAATTGTGGTACTCTCTTTGATTTTAGATTTTGGGACCAAAGCTGGCTGATCTTTTGATGAGTAGATCTTGATGATTTGCTCTTTTAGGCCTTATTCAAGGATACTGGGAACCTCACACTCTTCAGGAAGAAAAAAAAGTTTTCTCTCCTGGCAGGCCCATCAGTTCAGTTGAATCAATATGTATTAGGTACCTCCCAAACAGCAGCCTCTGTGCTAGGTACGTGGGTAGAGATTTATGAAGAAGAATGAAATTCAATCCCTTACTTAGGAGCTCACAGATGTGCATGAACAGAAAAATTACAATTCAGTCTAATCATTCTCATGAGTTCCCAGTTCTGTTTGTAATAGGAAGGTCCAAGGAGCATTTGAACTGTGACTCTCAGACCCTTACCTCCTACTCTGAACTCTCAGCTTCAGTCAGCACATGCTGTTTCTAGCAGCTGCCTTCTGTCTTGGAGTCCCCACTGAAGTCCTCTAGAGTATGTCCGTATTGTCCCTGAAAACCACTGGTGCTGGCTTTTCCTTTCAAAGCCTTGTTTTAATTCTAGATTTGAAATAGCACTCACAGGAAGTCTCTTAGACAATAGTAGAGTTCTCTTTCCATAGACTTTGGAACACTGTTCTTTTGGAAATGTTTACAATGACACTTATA